CTCCGAAACATATACATGAACCAAATAAAAAAAAAACACACACAAGACTAACAAAGGCTATAGGTTCCCGACTTGGGACAGGCGCAAAAATGCGGTGGGGTTAACATGTTTTGTGAGATCTCAACCCTTCCCCTATACCTCTAGCCAATGTGTTACAAACAAACTCACAGCAATATATTTGCGAGGTTATACTAAGCAAAGGGAGGATAACGTTTTTCTTTCATCGAAATTTTCTTTCAAAGAATAAAGAGTAGCCTCCCTTTAGTAGTTGTGTAAGTGCTAGTATTGTTATCTTTGGACTTCATAGATGTACTGCTTATTAACATTCTGGTAATTTCTTAAGTTTTAAACTAATTATTACATTATTCAATTCTTGTTATCAATCTTCATTTTGAACTAGGACATATTTAAATCTTGGTATTGATTTTCCTTTTGAACTAGGATATGTGATGTCACTCAAATCAGTAAGTAAATGTCAAAAGGTTTAGTTTTTTCCCCGAGGTGGGGGGTGGGCACATTGTTTGAATATTTCTGCTTTTGTTAGTGCATATACTTGTCCCTGTGATGTTTCACTTGCTTTGGACATATATAGTTATCTGGATTTCAATAAAGATTTTCTGATTTCTCCTCGATATATATTTTGGTTAACATTTCTTTCGTCTTTTGTGGAAAAATCGTGTCATTCAAAACTTCTGATAGCACACAAAGGTTTCAATTTGCACATCTAAAGAATGAAATGATGACGTGGCTTTCTTGTCTCCTTATGACACAAGCAAGACTGTGAATTGTTATCCAGTTCCTTGATAAACGCCATTAGTGTCCGTTGCAGCAGGGTAACCTACACTATTCTCCAAACCTATTACTACAGTTTATGTTATTTGCTGTGAATAACATTGAACTTTTGTTACCTTTATGTTTGTTTTCCTGCATCAGGTACAAGGAAATTTGTTACAGCTCTTAAGCTCACAATCCTAGAGAATCTTCTTTTGTGCATGATGCAGCTAAACAATCAAATATAGATACATTTGATGCAAATATAAATAAAGAGCTACACGTTTGTGCAAGATAAGCCTATCGCCCTTTAAGCTCGTCTTTATGCTTTAAATGAATTTATATGATCAACTAGAAATACTGTGAGCACTGCTCAAATAGTTTTAGAAGATTTTTCAACGAATAAAGTTCGCAATGTCCTATCAGAATTTATTAAAAAGAAAACAAAACGGAAGCTTATTTCAATAGATATAAACAAGTCACTAAAGTTTCATGAAAACTGCTTGAAGCATTTTTGGGTTATAGTCAGAAACTGGAAAATCCTCCACTTTTTATGAATAAAATCCCATAACTCGGAAACGTAAAATCTAAATAAAATTGAGTTATTGTGCGAAGTATTGACGACGAACGAAGTGACAGACGGACGGACAACGGTATACCATAATACGTCCCGTCTTGAAAGACGGGCGTACAAAAATATAAAAAATGCAGATAAAATCACATCTCTGGAGTAGCAATCATTAAATACTTTTTTTATTTAATATGAACTAACCTTTATGACTATAAATCAATCATGATATAGGTTTAGTATATGAATGTCATGTACAACTATTGCATGTTGTAAAGGATTATATTTGCTATACATGTATATGCTTCCCTGGTGAACTAATTTGAAAAAAAATAAAAATATCTTATCCATCTCTTCGTACATCAATAATCTAGATAATGACCTAAAAATAATATTTTTGCACTTACCAATTAAGCATTAACAACAAACAAAAGGCGGTAACGAAGTTCACATTTAGGTAAAAAGATGTTTAAACTGTATATAAGAACTGGGACTATTATACTAACCGATAAGAATAAGAATATTTTATTATTCCAATCAAGGGCCCTTGATGGGCAGCATGACATGTACACATAAAACAATACATCATGATTTGTAACAGAAAAACATTTTTTTTATACATTGAAATGAAACATTAAAAAGTTCAGATATTTTATTATCTCCATTCTATATAAATCACATACATTTAATTCCAGGCAGGACCAGAACAATAAAATTATTACAATTATCATTGTTATTACATACATTAATTTACATTTCGACTAACATCTATACATGTAATAATATAGTTCCCTAAAAATTTAAGTACAGACAAATTTTCATTAGTAAATAACCAAACAAATTTTGCCTCATTTGAGAGATATGAAAAATTAGGACAAATACTGTTTATCTCCTTGAAATATATCTCCCTATCATCTTTGTATGCTGGACAACTAGTAATAAAATGTTGTTCATCTTCAACCAGACTTAGAGTACATTTCTTACAAAGCCTTTGGTCTCTTTCTATATAAAAAGTTTTATACCTGTCTCTTTCTATTTTGAGATCATGGGCACTGATTCTAATTTTACATATGGCACTTCTCAATTGAAAATTGTTTAAAGATAGATACATTTCTTTAGAAAAACAAGTTTTTAGTTTGAAATAAGTATCTAATTTACTACTCTTTGTTTCTGTTCTTTTTGTGTTCCAAAATTTTACAAAACTATTACAAAGTTTTTGCTTAACTGACTTGATAAAAAAGTTAAGCTTTACCTCCAAATTATGAATATTCAGCTTTTTAAAAATGTAATGTATGGATGAATACCAGCTTTCAATATTATTAGTAAACATGTTTTTGTTACACATATAGGTATCGTACAGTAAACCATCTTTTATAATTTTTTATTCTAAACCAATATTTCATCATTGATAATACATCTGAAAAATATAAAGGGAATCTACCAAGCTCTCCTAGCACAGCTAGGTTAGAAGACTTTTTGTTTACACCTAAAATATACTTCATATATCTTAAATTGGATTTATCTAAAAAATCATTCATATAAATGTGCTTCACTTTCTTTCTGGCATGATGCAGAGCTAGTTTTAAACATACTGCATATTTTTACCAAGAGAAGGGAGGGCACTGTTATATTTTTAGAAGTTAATACGTTTCAAGAAATAAAGAGTAACTTCCCTTTAGTAATTTCGGAATAGCAAGATTCAGAAATGTGGAAAAACGGATAACACTTAAACAAAAAGGAGAAAGGCTCTGGATAAGAAGTCTCAGATTAAGTTGAGTGTGTTTTATGGCGTCTGTGTATTGTTTAAATTTGTTTTTGAAATAATCACACTACACATGTCTTTTAAGAGCTCAAAGAAATAAAAATATAATTCTGAAAATATAAACATTATTTTTAGGAGCCAGCTGAAGCCCGCCTCCGATTGCGGGATTTTCTTGCCGCGTTGAAGACCCGTCGGTGGCCTTAAGCTGTTTTCTGCTCTTTGGTTGGGTTGCTGTCTCTTTGAAATGAAATTCCCCGTTTCCATTCTCGATTCTACTTCTTTGTATCTCTTTCGTTCTTCTTTCAAATAACAAATGAGTGAATAATGACGAGACAAAAACACACAGAAGATTAAAACATTGCAGATTGGAAAGGCCTTTTATATCAGGGAACATGACGATGATGTGCATGTATGGTGACGTTATTAAGGCAAGTGTCGGTCCATGCTATATTGCTATCATTTTCTGCAATTTCATAACTCATTACTGGAAAAATGTGAGTGCCAAATTAAATCAAAATTCTGCAATCTTCGTATTTACGTTGGCATGTCAAGAGTTGCTCTCCGAGCTCTTAAATTGTCCGATGTGCAATTCTTTGTCTAGGTTCTTATTGGTTTAATTTGTATGCGGGACAAAGCATTACTTTTTAAATTTATACGTCACAAGACCAGTATCTCCTGTGTTCATATCATTTTTTTGTGCATCTTTATGTGAACACCAGTTTTGGGTTTTGGTAGAGTCCAAGTAAAAGTTATGTGTAGACAGGGTAGTGCTGTGTAAATTGGCAGTAGAAAGGCGTGAGGAAATGTTGTTTCAAACCCTGGTTTTAGAGGAAGTAAAAATCAAGTACAAGTGTACTCTCACATTTATAAGCTTGCGTTTATGCATACTGCACATGGTAGAATTTTATTAATCCCCAGTTTTATCAAAGGCAAAACATATTTTCAGGTACACCATTTCTTGTCGGTAAACTTTTTACGACGTTACTGTATGAAATATACCTTTAAGTAAAACCATCGATATAACAATGTTAGGCGATAGTATCTTATGCAAGCTGGTTGGGTACTTGTTTCAAGTTACTGTAAGCATTTTTTTTTTATATTGTATTGTATATTATTGTGTGTTGCCATTATACCATTGGTTAACTAGTATTTGTCAGTTCCAAAACCCAGAACGTTTTCCCCACAAGTCTTCGTAACTGCAAAACCGAAATCCGCTTCTGATAAGCTTTATATACCGTCATACAAAACATCTTGAAATTCATAAATCAGCTTTAATTCTAATTCTATTTTACTTCGAAAATTTATTAAAAAAACATTGATTCACGTTCAGTTTCGAAGAATTAATATACTTTCTGGGGTGCGAAGACGGTTGCAAATGATACCTGGTAACATTCATATTCAGAGAATCGCACAGAACGGTTAGAGCAGGACAGCCAGCTTGTCAAATAAAGCAGACAATTTTTGAACATCCTCGCAATTTTGAAGCTTTTGTGAAATGCTCATTCAAATAAAAAACATACAAAGAGCATTATCAGAAGAAAACTATACACAAATGCATCAAAATAAGCCAAATAAAAATGTAGTTCTTCCTCGATGTGGAAGCCGTAGGATGACATAAAATATGCTAACTGTTTAATTATGATAAAAATACACATGCTGCATGAATTAACCAAAACACATTATTCTGCCTCTGAGCCAACAAATCTTTGCTCTCTTTCTAAATACCATTTGATCAACGAAGTAGAAACTTATACTAGTTTTAAAGTCTTCAGTTGGGCACGGTCTGGTACCCAATGCATGATTTCGGCACACTACCACGATACAACCCATGCAAATAAACTAAATGAATGAAGAATGTAATTGCCTTCCAGAATTTGTAAATAGTTGTGTCTAATAAAATATGCAAAAACAATTTTATTAAAAATGTTATGATAAAAAAAATCATTAAAAAAAATAAAAATCATGGAGCAAATAATTTTTAAACACAACACACTGCCATTCTTAGCAGTTACATCTAGATACAATTCAAATACGCATATAGATTTAAGACGAAAAATATTAAGCATATGCACATACATTTAAAAAAATACAGCCAGATTTGGTTGATTTATTGCTTGTTCCTTTGATAACCATCCAGTGGAAAATGCAAGATTTGGCATACAAAGAACTATCTGTCTAATTGACAAGGCTAGCATATAATGTTTATTGCGTGCATCTCTCTCTTTGCATTCGTTTTTTTATATATAAATGATTGGTCGAATATTATTTTTTGGTTATCTAAAGTTTAAGAATTTTCATTTTAATGTTAATTTCACAGAACAGTGACATAGGTTTATTTTTTAATGGAGATTGAGTGTATTTTGTTTGTAGAATATCATGTAATAAAGAACTTTATAGAACAAATTAAGCAATAATTCTATCATATCATGCTCTTTGTTGATTTTAACATGGGTAGGCATATAATGTTGATAAATATAATGCCTACTCATGTTAAAATGAGCAGAGAGCATGACAAGATAGAATTATTTCGATTCTAATAGGAAAATTTAGAACTTTTGTACTTCGAAGAGGACCTATAATACACGTTCGAAAGGCAGTCGTTTTGATTTAATAAAGCCAAAAAGATATAGAAAACAACTGTTTCATTGTAAAAAATAAACAGATACAATCATGTAAACTTACTTTAAGAAAGCGAAAGAAGAACGTCATATTAGAATGTACAAATAGTTTCTAGAAAATATAACCAGAACGTCTTATCATATAATTTTCAGTTTTTTTAGCACCAACAATATTCAAATGTATAAATTGGCAGACGTAAAACCTTGGTAATGGACAGATGTACAAACAAGGCGACAAACTATTCAGGGAAAGGTTTATCATTTTTTTTGTTAAACTTAATTACTCAATTTGGCTTAAAATGAACTTCTTATCTACTATAATAACTCAAAAATTGAAGAAGAAAAAATACACAGTAAACTGTAGCTAATCTTATTTGATTTATGCTTCCACTATTGGAGTCTTTTCGAATCCCATGCTTGTCAAGATCAGACGAAAGTGCATTAGTATCAGGATAAGGCCGATGTACGATATTTGACGACTGAGATTGCACAAGTATACCAGACTTAGATCTATATTTTGTCTTTCTACCGCGAGATGGAGCAACTTTAAGTTCAACATGGTCATATGCAATCTTTCTTGGCAGTAATGTTTCGCTTACAATCATGGACGTCAGAGGTGTTACAAAATTATATTTTAACGATAACTCCAGTGTTTTGTTTCTCAATATCATCTTTATGTCGTCATCGTCAGTAAGCGCAGTGTCTTTCAGAAGATCGTTTATCTTCATGTACGCCCACAATTTTTCCATAAAAGAAGATTCCATTATGTTTCCAACTTTTAAAGCGGTAGAGTTTATGTTGGTGTCCAGATTTGTTACTGATCCTTGTCCCTGGACGTGAGCATCTAATTGCGATTGAAAATGGTCGTTGATTTTGCCAACTATAATTAACTCAGAACCCTTAAAATATTGCGGAAATCGTGTCGAAGTCAAAGACGACAGTTCAACGGCGTTGTTTGGATAATCAATTTTGATATCTATCAACGTTGGATTCTCGAGTTCTTTGTAGAAACTTTCTAGCTGCCTTGATGCATCACTTTCTTCATAAATCCTACGGGCGAATCCACCATTTTCCCAAGAAAGCGCCTTCAAGAAATGCATGTCTACATCAAAACCGAAACCCAATGAGAATATAGAAAATTTGTGTTTGTTTGCAGCGGTAACACCTAATCGAATACTTTTTGTATTGGTGATCCCGGCAGTAGGTCGACCATCTGTAAGAAACACTATGATATTGCCTTTAGTTCCACCTAAACTCTGTGTAGTATCCAGTAAAGTTACGCCTCTCAGTAGACCACTGCTTATATCTGTGCCACCTCTTGCATGAACCTTGTCATGAACAAATATTTTTGCTAAATTTACATTAGTCAAAGTAGCTAACATCGGTTCGGAAAACCATTCTTGTATGTTATTATCGAACAATAAAATGTTAAAATAATCACCTGGGTGTAGCTGATCCAAAATAGAAAGCATTGCAAGTCTGGTTTGTTCCATTTTTAGTCCTTGCATTGAACCACTGATATCAATTACAAATATAATGTTTTTATAAAGGACAGTGAAACCAGAAGGTGCTAAATAGTGAACAAAGTATTCGTTTTCTTGCAAAATAATACCACCAACATTGCTGTGTTCTACGTCATACATTAATACAACTTCACCGGAAATTCCTTTACTGATGTTTTGTGTTTTTTGATAGTCATCTGTTGGTTTGAAATAAAGTTCTCGGGTATTCTCGGAAGCTTTTACTACCGTTAACTCGTTTGAGCTTGTTTCGGTCGTGTTTGATCCTGGCAACGTGTAATGAAACTTATTGATACCTTCCTGTTCAAAAATTTTTGCACGAAACACAAGATCAGGCACAATTTGCCGCGGTTGAAAACTTATTTTTTGTTTATAATATCCAAATTTTCTGCTAAGCAATTCGTGATACTGAAGTTTGAAGACTGCTTTGCTCTCTGCGGCAACATTAACAGAAACGGTGAATATTTTCATTTCTCTGTTTGGCGTATCATCTTGGCGGTCTATTTTAGCAGCAGAAACTCCCAGTTGTTTTGATTGTTCATATATTTTGTTTGCTTCTTTCTTTTCTTTTACAATGGCTGTTATACTTTTGTCTCCGACAGACATGGTGAAATTGGAAATAAAAGCCGTGTCCGGTAACTGGAAAGTAAACTGTGTTTCAAGGCTTTGATTTGCAAAGTTTTTCATCTGAGTTGTTACAAGAACACGTGCCATTCGCGCGTGGATCTTGCTTTCTACATGCATAGATGCAATTTGTACTCTCGGCATAATTACTGCATTATCACAGCTACATAATACATTTATAACGGCAAAAAGACCAACAGAATTTAGTCGCAGTGTCATAATGGGTACTGTTGTGCGCCCCTTAATATTGTAAGTCTGAAAACAAAAGCAAAAAGTGTCATTGAAATGTTTAATAATTTATTTTGTTAAACCTTAGGATTTGTTTTGTTTTTTTATTTCGTTTATAATTGTTTTTTAATTTTGTTTATAATACGACTGAGATATTTTCCTCTGGGCGTTTTTTGCTTTTGTTGTTGTCTTGTATCATTTTTTATTTGTTTGGGGGGAGGGTATAATCATGGTTATTTTTGGGGTATACAAAGGTAAACATTGTAGATATAATAGTACCTGTCTTAATGTAGCACTTCTATATCGCAACAGAAAACAGAAAAGGTGGATTAAATAGTCTTTTAATTGGTTAAAATACTTTTCATTCAAATGCAGACGAAATACACCTGAAGAAAGTGTTTACAAAGCTGCCCACCCGTGTGTTAAATCAGTCTGTAAAACGGCGGTTTTCTTGCAAAAATAAGAACTTACTAATCTTACCTGGAAACGAGACCTTAAGCATTTGCCATTTCCCTGTTCCAATTGATTATTTACTACTACAAGAATGTTCTGTTTATATGCATTTAGTGGCAAGATTATGCCATTTCGTGTTTTTGGCTTTGATATTTCATAAAGAGATAACGCGAAAAGAAAAAAAACTTTAACGGCCATCATGTTTTTCACTATTCTGTGCGATCCCCTTTTCGATAATTCGCCTTTTGAGGTATCAAACACGAAATGACCGCATCAGGTCACCATATTTATAAATTTATGCCTTTATATAAACATTAATCAACTGTTTCAGAAATCAATTACATTTGTAGCATCATATTGATAAAAGTTTTTGTTTGTAATTAATGTTCATACTTATTTGTAGATATACTTGTTACACAAGTGGTATTGCAAACAGATAGTTAAAACATGAGCAACATGACGGATGCAACATGTCGAACAGGGTCTATAGTACCCCTCTGGAGCACCTGAGATCACCCCGGTTTTTGGTAGGGTTCGTGTTGCTCAGTCTTTGGTTTTCTGTGTTATGTTTTGTGGACTGTTAGTTTATTTTCGACTTGTGAGTTTGAATGTCCCTTTGGTATCTTTCGCCTCTCTTTTACCATTAAGAGGGTGGTAAAGGGTTATTTTCGTGCAACGTGTTTTGCCATTTTTATTTCACGTGCAGCCGTGAAAAAGGTTCGTTATTCGCCGTGTTTCTTGAAATCGGTAAAAAGATCAACGTGCAAGAAATTTTCAACTGTTCGTTCATCGTGAAATGGCAATTTTATTTCGCGTTCTTCCGTGCAGATACATCCCCTTTACGCCCCTCCATTAAGAATGCAGCTTCTTTGATAGTGGTATCCCTCTATCAAGGAAATCAAGATAGGAAATATCGAATATCGAAGTAACGAGAGATACATACTCCATTTGCAACTTGCTGAATTAATACATAAATACGAAAGTTCACTATTATATTATTGAAATCCCCTGTTGTTTCAGTACACCTGATATTTATAAAGCCGCCTGGATGGAAATTGTTTTAATGTGTCGGAGTTTATAGTAACTGAAACAAAAGAAGAAAAGGAAATAACCTATCTCTGGAAGGTTTGGCATATTAGACCTCTACGTCTATGTCATATCCCTCGATCGTCATATATATATATATATATGTAAACAAAACATAATGATTCAAACCGAAAGTAGAAATTGAGGGTAATGCAATCATTCATCTGTAATTTATTAAATACTGTTTCTCGAAATAAAAAAAATGTAACAAACTATAGCTTTAATGTGCAGGCCTTGAATAATTGAATTAACTTACCCATTTCGAATAGTATTATTCCTTAACAATTACTGCGTCATATTCTCATATATATCATGCAATAAACATAAGTGGACTATAAATACGGACCACAATACGGGTAGATTCCGTGTGGATCTAACAGAGAAATCAACAGATCAAACATGTCAAAATGGTTAAAAAATAATAAACTAACATTTTTTTTCATTTAAATAATTGGCCTTATTTCCATAATCCTAATTCTCATTAAGTCTTCAAGTTTTTTCTTTTTTAAATTGACTGTCGCTTTAAAAGGACCTATTTGTTTTCTTCTTCGTGGACGTACTAATTATTAACCCTTACCTGCAAAACGTGAAAAATGGAGCTTCCGATTTATACCGTAGACGCTTTTACAGATGTTCCATTCCAAGGAAATCCAGCAGCAGTCTGTCTAGTTAATAATGAAAAAGTAGGTTTGTAATAGGAAGTATGTAAAAAAAACTATGTTGACCTCTATATGTCTTTTAGTTATTTGTGTCGTAGGGTCAGTGCTGTTTCATTGACGTATGCCCAACATCTCCTTTTACTATTATACACTTATAACTTATAAATTAATGACTTAATTAGTACTTGCGTGATGGGTCTTAGACCCTTTGCGTTTCAACGATGTAGATGTAGATGTAGATGTACAAGGTACAACCGATCTGTATATTTATTTAAACTAAACCCCGACGGATACTATCATGCATCGCTGTATTATTTAAATAAGGGCGTGTGTATTTCATTTCATTAATTTTTTCTCCTAATTCAAAAATCTTGGATATTGACCGTAGTTAATATGTTGTACATATTTCGCTTATATGAACGATTAAATGTAATATGGTTCTTGTTTTGAATCTAAAATGATAAGCTTACATGAACGATTAAATGTATTATAGTTCTTGTTTTTAATCTAAAACGATAAGCTTACATGAACGATTAAAAGTAAAAAGTAAAACAACAAAAATATCGAACTTCAAGGAAAATTCAAAACGGAAAGTCCCTTAACAATTGGCAAAATCAAAAGCTACGACAAACGAATGGAAAACAACTGTCATATTCCTGACTTGGTACATGCATTTCCTTATGTAGAAAATGGTGGATTTAACCTGGGTTTATAGCTAGCTCGTATGACAGTTGCATAAAATTCCATTTTACTGACAACAACATATGTTATTAATCTAAACAAATGACTATGATATTTCTAAAAAGTGATTGTTTGACGTGTTTTTTTAATGAATATAAGCAAAAATCGTACTATTTTTAGCACAGTTAAAGATAATATATTAAACTAATAAACTACCAAGTTAAAATGGGCGTTTTAATTTAAATAAGTAAATCAAGGTATGTCCCTGTCTGCATGCTACCGTTTTATTCAAAATGTATACGGGTACTTATTTAAATCATGTATACCGTTGTTTTCACAAACGTAGCATTGTCTCGTAAAATTCCGTTCCTCAAACGTTACTCCTTCAATTATTGCATATGTACTTGGATCTTCCTGAGGAAAAGACACTTTTTTTACGTTTCCCCTTTTTCCAAAATCCGTTATGTTTTTGTTTTTCTTAAATTTCAAATTTTTCGTGTTTTTCACTGTTAGACTTACTTATATATAGTTATTTTATTAACTATCAATTACTAGTTTACTACCAACAGCGGTTATTAATAATATATATATTGAGGGAGGGATATTTGGGATTGAAATGGAAAAGAAGGACATGTTGGATAGGGCACATATTTTGCCTTCCAATGGACCAACTACGGTCTATGGATATATTTGTATAATTAAAAGGTAATTTAACGTGCAAAGAGAATGACAAACGAAGGACAACAGTTATGCAACTTAATTATTACAAAATGAATAAAAACAGGTACTATGATAATTACGTAAAAAATACAGCAACCCAACTAAATCGACCAGATTTTAAAAAAATGCGGTAACATGTTTATTCATATGTTCAGTATGATATACAAGTTCATTCCACTATGCATCAAGAATGGTTATAACCTTAGACTAAGCCAACTAGGAAAGCCATTCTCCGACTAACAATAAAATTAATTTGAATCTTTTTGCGGGAATGATATATATTTGCAAGTGCAAAAATGTTGTTCTTACACCGTTTATTTACAGGAGACTTTTTTGCTGATTGATTATTAATTTTTATCTGTTGCTATACGAATGCTTATTTATTTCTAATACTTTGCCGCGCACAAATTTATTTTCACTTTTACTTTGTACGCAACTGTTTCCTGCATTTTATGGTGTAGACTAGTCATTTTGATCCTACATGACTTCTGCAAGGTTGTTTATTTGTCAGCTCCTACCAGGCCAGGATATTTATTTTTAAAATCCGCCTTTCCGCCCGTCCCCTTCTCCCCCCGAAAATCAAATGGTCGTCCCCTTAAGTTGTCGCAACTATATAGGGAAATGTTAACAAAACAACTTTCACGAGCATTTAAATTATTTTAGTTGATTACGTCAATCCTCCCTTTGTATGTGTAATCCAGATACTCTTTTGTGAATTCCACTACTATTAAGTCTTTTTGTATCAACACATGACCATTTTATCTTTCAGTCATTAAATACTTAAATTCTCATTTCATTTCCTTGTTTCCTTCACAGTTATTGTCGGAAGAAAAACTGCAGCAGATAGCAGCTGAAATGAATTTATCTGAAACCGTATATATCATCGATACACATCAGACAGGATTCACACTAGGTTGGAACTTATTTTTTTATAAACACTAAAAACAAAATCATAGTTGTCGAGAAAAAGCAAGAAAAAACCAAGTCGGGCAATCTATTTCACTGCAATCGAAGGAGGACAGACAATACCATGAACATGAAAAAGAAAAAACCCACTAAAACATAAACAACAGTCCACTAAACAGATACAGTAACTACAGATCAATTTAAAGGTGAATCTACCAAAGTCTGCGTGTGAATCAACGCAGGTGCTCTGGGAGGGTAAACTGTCCATGCGCCACTAATGAACCCTTTGTATTGTTCATGAAAAGTAAAAAAAAAAAAAAACTGTCGACTTTGTAACTACACTAATTCGCTGATATTTTCCCGTATGCAGTGACCTTAACTACGAGACCTCTCGTTAGAACTCAGCCACCGCATAGCGCAAGTGCGAAGGGAAAACCGGAATGAAAGAATGTAAACAAACGTGCATTGGAAGGTACGTAGTAATAACTGATTCTTAAAGAATAAATTTAATACAACGAATCATTTAAACTGTTAAATGAAAGTTTTATTAACAAATGGGAGCTCATGGAAAATATAAAAACAAATTATTTTGGCTCTATCATTTCACTTATTTGTCACGTACTCCACGTGTGCTGTGTTGATTGTTTATCAATGTGACGATCCGATTAATTTCGGCAACAAATTCAAAATTTAATTAGCTTGCGATCAAAGATCACTGAATGAAATATTATTTGTCGATTACATGTTGTAAATTCGTAATAGATATTAAAAAAAAAACCGTGCATACTGGACTTAGTTTTGTCAATAATGTCGATAACATTAAAATTACAAGAAAATCGTTCCATATGACCTTAATCCTTTTATCTAGATGACAAATGATATCGAATAGGTTTTATTAAAGTTGATACCTTGTCACGAAACATTGCATCTGTAACGTGTAACCAGTAAGGCGTTTATTCCAGTAACTACTTGAAATCAAGCCACTGGCGTAGCAAGGCCTTTTATAAGTGTACGCCCGAATCTGGGCAAGGGGTCTGAAAGCCCCCAGCGACCCCATGGCAGAGGACCTTCAGGTAGGGGGCGAAACCCCGGGAAGCTCACGCGTTATCGTGAACAAGATACCATTTCTGTCATTCAACAATCATCAATAGCATCATAATTGGTCGTTTGAGAACAAAACTTTACTACATGTATATGAGATTATTTCAGCTTTCCAGTCGTGAACTTTCCATTTCTATGTAGCAAAATTCCAGTAGAACCTGCATATGGAGTATATATCTCCCAATTGATACGATAGTCAGAACTGACATTTCTCATAATGATTTCCTTGAACGAGGTTGCTACTTGCAAGGACGCTATTAAACCAAAAGTTCAAAGTGTTGAAGTTGAAAGCATCCCTTCGAAAATTTTATGATCGCTATCACGAGTTGGTTTCACAGATGACGACGGACATGTTCCATTGTTGTTACCACAATTCCGTTCTCTTTTCCTCGAATTTGACCTACCGAGTTAAACTTATCGCCGAGTTTTTACTTACACTAGCAACAAGACGGATGCCACATGTGGAACAGGATATGCTCACTCTTCTAGAGCACATGAGATCAGCCCCACTTTTAGGTCTTTAGTTTTCTATGTTGTCTTTTATGTACTGTTGTTTGTCTTTTCGTCGTTTTTTCGTCTTTGAAATGGCATTGTCAGTTTGTTTTCAACTGATAATTTTGAGTATCCCTTTGGTATCTTTCGTCTCTCTTTTAAAGTTTGATAAGGGATTTTTTTTTCATGTTGATTTCATTGTGTTTTGAGTGAGGTTTCATCCTGTAGAATCACATCATTGCTTTAAACGACAGTAACCTGAGTAGAATATTCACCGTAGATTCAAAGTTTGACGGAAAATGAACAAATAGATAATATGATACAACATGATTAAAAAGTAAATTTCGTCACTTTTATGGCTTCAATTACGAGTTACCGAAGAAAGCATTATAATTCCTCGTGTGGCTTAAACGGTTCCTTTAATTATTTGGATCAAAATATCCCCCCCCCCTCCCCCCCGGCCCGGGCGTTTTGACGTAAAGGTAGCTACGCGCCTGCAAGCTGTCCATAAACAATACGACAATACCAAAAATCTATAACTATCCATCTATGTTATGCACAATGAACTATAATATACACACGGGCTCTTTGGCGATTAATGTAACAACGAACAATTATACATATACAAATATAATACTACCTAACAGCCTGTCCTCCAGATGGGAAGGTCTGTCACTACAAGACATTGGTGCGGGCTGGTACAGTCTGTCCTCAGAGTGGGACAGTCTGTCACTACCAGACAATGCATGCTGGTACAGCTTGTCCTCCGAGTGGGACTGTCTGCTCTGCCAACTTAGAAT